GTGTGTTCATGTGCAGAGAGCGAGTCACTGCATGTCTGTCGATTGCAGTGAGAAAAAATCAGTGATGGCAAATCATCGTCAAGAGAAGAAAACAAAGACGAGAGGTCAGCTGCTTTCTTTTACTACAAACATCATAAATCCTGAACATAACCCCCTGTGCATAGGTGCTTTAGACAGGGCATAGAGAACGATGTAGAGAGAGAGGATGGGAGATGAGAGCTGAGGAGCAGATGACAGAGAGACAGAGGATAGTTGGAGAGGATGCAGAGAGGACAGTCCTGAGAGTGAGAGAAGACGAGCTGTGAGGGAGGAAGAGGGACAACCAGCGGTTTGTGATGTTGAACAGACCTGTGTGTCTCGAGTGTCGTGTCTTACAATCATACAGTCATTGTACTGACAGTAATGAACATAATGACAGAATAAGTATAAGTTAACATGATCAGTTATTGTCCTCAGTTACAGCCTCATGTTTGCTCTGCATTCATCTCTTATCAGACGTACAAAGATGATCCACCAGTGCTGCCAGTTTGAGGACATTTCCCAGTCACATTAATGGGGACAGAACGCAGCTTCCATCAAGCTGGTATGAAAGTCATCGTGGATTCTCTGTAATTATGGACTCTGCCTGTTCAGGCCACCAATATGTCAGACGTGGATTTAAACATTGTGCACATGCACAGTATGTGAAACCTTTACTTTGAAATTCATTTGGATATTTATTTTGATTTATGTTAGTGCCTAAAATATTTTCAATTAATATATAAACAATGAATATTGCTCTCCTTGTTTTGTTCGGTAACCCTGGTGTGGGAGGTGGAATACTATACAGCAATACTGAGACTGAAGTAAAGGTATGAGGAAGAGCAGTATGTGAACCTTTACTTTGAAATTCTTTTGATCTTTATATAAATGAGTGAAATAAATTCACTTAATATATTAAACATTTAAATATTAGCCTGCGGTTAGTTTGGTCTGGATCTGCCACTGCCCCGTGATAATCGTGGAATACTGAGACTGAAGTAAAAGTATAGGAAGAGGGGAAAAACATTAACATTTCTCTTTTTATATAAATGTGTGAGGATGGAGGGATTTTCCTCATCCTCACTCTCCAGAATGTCAGCAGACCAGTCAGATTCATGATTTCATGTGTTTAATCTTGTGGTTAAAACGTGTCAAACCAAGCTTCACGTCTCTGTGGATGTTTGTGATCTGAAACTTTGTCATTTACTACAAATGCATCAGCAGAAAATTGCAGTTACTTCATCCACAATAAAGACATCAACAGGTTAACTTCAGCCACAAACTAAAAGCAGGAGGAACAATTTCACTTTACAACTGTCTTTATGTAAAATGTGTTTAGATCTCCTAAACAGACTGTGAACATTACAAAACTGACAGTAAATGGCATCACAGAGCATCTGTTTACATTAAAGTGCCCCTGGTTGTGGTCATTTGAATAAAGTCTGAATTTTAATGAGAAGCTGATTAAAAAACAGAGAAACTGAGTCTGAGTCGGAGCACCATGTTTTCACTGACACTGAAAAACAAAATATATACCACAGATTGTGTTTACAGTTTTTAAAATGTAATTATAGTAATATACACTGACTGGCCAGTTTATTAAGTACACCTTCCTAGTACTGATTTTCGCCTCCAGAACTGTTTTAATGTTCACAGCAGAGATTCAACAAGGTGCTGCAAACATTCCTCTGAGACTTTGGTTCATGTAGATGTGAGAGCATCCACAGCTGCTGCAATTTATCAGCTGCACAGACATGATGTGAATCTCTCGTTCCAACACATTTGTTTGAGATGTGGAACTGGAGGCGACCTGAGTACAGTGAACTCATCGTCATGGTAAGAAACCAGCTGGAGATGATTTATTTTGTGACATGGAGTGCAATCAGAGGATGGTTACAGATGAACGCAGTCAGCAGCAACACGCTGTGTGTTTAATCGATGCTCTGATACAGGCAGGATGGATCCATGTGACCGTCACAGCACAAATCAGAACTCATCAGACCTGGAAATGTTTCTCCAGTCTGCTGTTGTCAGACTTGGTGAGCCTGTGTGAATCACAGCCTCAGTTTCCTGTTCTCAGCAGAACCAGACTTGTCCTGATGGGAACACAGAACCAGTTCTAGTTTGGTCACCAGCACTGCATCCATGGAAAAGGGAACTGGTCCAAATCTACAGGATGTTAACTCAGGAGAATTAACATCCTGTAGATCTGGGAGCCGTTTAGAGCAAAACATGCATTAAAGTATGTTTTTGTCACTTAGTTGAAAGAAAACATCCAAATCAGTTTTATGTGATGTGTGAAACATCTGGATGAGGTTTCAGTGTTTACATGTCTGCACATCAGTGCACTTGGTAAATCCTTTGTTCTTTCTCTCTGTGGTCATAAAGGACCAGGTTAACAATTAAAACATAAACGTGTTTTTACAGCATTTATAAAAGCTGTTGTGTTATAAACTCTGTCACAATTTATGGGATTCATTATGTATTCTTAATATTTATTGGTAAAAAAAAAATATTCGTAGTAACATTGTGAAAAACTGCAACAAAAAAACAAGACATGGATTATTTTGATCCCGAGCTCAGATTTATTAAGGAAGCACCAGGAAACAACAACAATCATATCAACAGACACTTTATTACAGTAAAAACATTAGAACCACAATCTCCTAAAAACTGCATGAACTGTATGTAAGAAGCTCCTGAGTTCAATTCCACCATTCAATTCAATTCAATTTTATTTATATAGCGCCAAATCACAACATAAGTCGCCTCAAGGCGCTTCATAGATACAGAGAAAAACCCAACAATCATATGAACCCCTATGAGCAAGCACTTTGGCAACAGTGGGAAGGAATACCAGAGGGTCATAGAGGGTTTGGAGGCCAAGAAGGTGTTGTCCATGATGGATGTTAGCTTAGACAACATCCTCTCCTCCCCAACCTGCTTGATGGACTTCAGTGGAAGCTACTCCACCCGGGCCATGCTTTCCTGGTTTTCATCTTCATCAGCTGACTTCGCCCTGGTAAGTTGTGATGGAGAGCTGCAGTGTAGGCTGTGGGTAGGTGTCTCCTGATGAATGGCACAGGGGGAGGAGGCAGTAGAGTCGTTGAAAGAAAAAGGATCAGTTGAGGTGCTGGAGGCTGGTATGAACCCTGCTTCTGTTGTTTATGTTTCTGTAGATTCAAACACCATCTCCACAAACAACAACAATACCTCCTTCAACACCACTGCTGACACCATCAACACCACCAAATCGAAAAATCCTCCAACGGCATCATCACCAACTTCACCAACACGCACGGGACAAACGCCATCGCCAAAAACTGCCACAACAACTCCAGATCCACCTGGTTCTCAAAAGATGGATGCTGCTCTTGTGGAAAAAAGTGTCCATTCCAGTACTTAGGGCACATTTATGTAGGTCAGCTCTGGGCCACTCTTGAATTATTATGATGTTGTTGTTTGGAGCTCGAAATGGCTGGGTGACGTTCTTCTGTCCTGACTGAGCCGTGATGGTTTCCTGGTCTAAAAGATGAACAACAGAGAAGAGAGGAGCGGTCACTTCTACAGCAGCCAATCAGGGTGAGGAACAGAGACAACTGCTCTCTCCTTTATGCTGGTTGAATCACATAAACATGACCATAGACCTGTTAAAATCTGCTAAGGAACCACAGAATTCAGACGAACAACAAAGCAATAAAGCAACAAAACAACTTGTGTTTAGCTCCCAGTGTCAGAAATAGAACAAAACACAATCTGAAAAGATTTATTAAAAAAGGGAAAATAATTTTTTGCAAACGGCTTTGAACAGCTGCTTATTTGTTGTTTTGGTTCTTATGCTCAGAAACATGTGATGTTTGTCAGGTTATTAAGTTGTGACCACATGATTAAATAATGATAATAAGTTTATGTCTGTGTAGGTTTTCAGACATCCTACCTTAGAATATAAAGCGCCTCGTGGCGACTGTTGTTGTGATTTGGCGCTATATAAAGAAAACTGAATTGAATTGAAAATGTGTTGACCAGGCCAACATTCGTTAGTTTTTGCTCCTGATTTCACCATCAGCTCTTCATCTACTACACTGCTCCCTCTGAGAAATCAGAGTCAGATAGATGCAGGTGACGGGGCTGACTAAATGATGCAATGATCCCAGTTCATACATCAGGCCCACGACCCCGTGCCAACACCGCGGTAAAGTGAGCCGTCATTTGTGAGCCGCGGTCAGCCAGCCGCCTCTTATCCGCCGCATAAATTTCCTTGCGCTTTTACACCAGTCTTTACGGTAGCGCCTTTTCGGAATGTGTTGAAAGTTGGGCCTCAACTACTCAGGATGACTTTTAATGAATTTTTGAAAATTGACATAATTGTAGTGTATTGGCTGTATTGAATTGCATATAAATGTCCTTTAATTTCTGAGGAATTTTACAGTAAATCTGGCTGAAACTTGGCACACAGGTACAGTAGGTGTCCCAGAGGAGGGATGTGTTGAAAGTTGGACCTCAACTACTCCGGATGATTTTTAATGAATTTTTGAAATTTCCATAATTGTAGTGTATTGGCTGTATTGCGTTGAATATAGGTTTCTTGTAATTTCTGAGTAATATTGCAGTAAATCTGGATGAAACTTGACACACAGGTACAGTAGGTGTCCCAGAGAAGGAATGTGTTGAAAGTTGGACCTCAACTACTCAGGATGATTTTTAATGAATTTTTGAAATTTCCATAATTGTATTGACTGTATTGGGCTGTAATTTGTGCGCGCGCGCGTGTGACTATTCGCCCGCGTGCGTCTAGGCTTTCAATCGGCATATAAAGCGAAAAGGCGCTACGTGCAGCCTGGTGTAAAAGCGCAAGGAAATTTATGCGGCGGATAAGAAGCGGCTGGCTTGACCGCGGCTCACAAATGACGGCTCACTTTACCGCGGTCGTGCCAACCGGGGACGCTGTAGTACGTACCATACTGTACACTGCTCCCTATCGATCGTCGGCTCGCTCTGCAGGCACACAGGGAACGCGCTTCCGCTGCAATCTTTGTGACCTCGCTACACGGTTGCTCTCCGTGAGAAGAGAAGCTGTTTGTGTTATCAACGTTTGTGTTATCGTTCGTGGACGGTGGAAAACAGCTTTGCTAGGAGCTTTAAACAAGGATGCCCTTTACTCGAAAACGACGTGGGCTTAACTTTGGGTATTGGAGCCTATTTTTAATCGTGACGTCGAAAAAACGAAGCTTATCAGCAGCTTTCACCGTCTTCATGTTTGCTGACGTGTGGGATCAGGCACAAAGGAGCTGCTAGTATGTTTTTAGAGCCTCTGCATGTCGGGGTAAGTAAAACGCAGACACGCAGAGTCATAAGAAGGTCGTGTTTCACGTCTGGTTGTAGCGCTGAAACATGGCTGCTGCTCTGGTTGAGCGTTGTGCCATTTATCACCGACGGAGCGTTCCCCAGCGTCGGAGCGCGCACTGGTCAGGCTCCAGGTTACTCCGCTTTCTTTACAACCAGCTAGTCAAGTAGTGATGTTTTAATTTGGTGACAAAGTTACAGTTGGATGTCGTTACATTACCATAAAGTGGAACCTCCTAGAAAAAGAAGTTATAGTTTTAGGAAGTCTTACATCCTTGTTGTTGGTTCAGAGGTTGTTTCAGCAAATTGCTGCGGAAATGTTAAAGTTTGAGTGCATTCTCAAGTGAGGGATTATTTCTTATTGGAACAGGCGGAACGAAGCCCAAATATCAACAGGACCTATTTTCTTTTATCCCTGACCAGGGGCGGATCTAGAGAAATTTTCTTAGGGTGGCAAAGAAATCAAATGTGCGGCAAAATCAAAGCCTTTTTTTTCGAACACAAAGGGGTGGGTTACATATGGTTAAAATGATTCAATATACATGCTATTCATATAAATATAGTCTACAACTTAATTATTTCCTGCAGTCCATGTATACAGTTTAGATAAACACGTGAAATTTTGGGTTTATGTACCGTGTAGTCCGTATAATGAATAAATCTGTAGCCCAATAAATATAAAATCCAGAAAGCTTAACAACATGGGGCGATTTTTCCTTCCTGACTGCTTTGGAGAACAAGCTCGATGACCTAAGAGCAAGAGTCACCTTCCAACGTGACATGAGGGACAGCGACATTGTGCGCTTCACGGAGACATGACTGACCCCATCGTGCCGGACCAGGCCGTAACTCCGTCGGATTCATTCTTTGTGCTCCGCGCGGACAGAACGGCAGAGTCAAACAAAACCAAAGGTGGAGGAGTGTGGTAAACAGAAAGTGGTGTGATGCCAGGAGCATTTCTACTCTTTGCAGCGGCTGCTCGCCACATCTGGAATTCCTGAGCATTAAGTGCTGCTCTTTCTATCTGCTCCGTGAGTTCACCTCGGTCATCGCCACGGTGGTCTACATCCCACCCCAAGCGGACACAGGTATGGCTTTGTCCGAACTACATGATGTGCTGAGTTCGCTTCAAAACAAGGACCCGGGCGCAGCCCTCATTGTAGCAGGAGACTTTAATAAAGAGAACCTCGGACAAGTCATGCTGAATTTCTACCAGCATGTCTGGTGTCCGACGAGGGGGGATCGGATTTTGGATCACTGCTACACGCAGTACAAGCAGGGCTACAAAGCTGTCTCACACTCGGCTTTCGGGAAGACTGACCACAACGCCATCTTCCTCATTCCCCAGTATAAACAAAACATATGGAGGGAAGAAGTAACCACGAGGGAGGTGAAACGTTGGTCTGCCCAATCAGAAGCTACGCTACAGGACGCACTCAACGATGTAGACTGAGCATGCGCAGTCGACATCAACGAGTTTACGGAAGAAGCAGTATGTTTTGTCAATATGCTAGCGGAGGAGATCATCCCCACTGCGAGAAGCTTGCTGCATACATGCTACTGCACATTCACCAAATGTGTATATATATATTTATTTATAATGTTCTTCCTCTCTCCCCCTCTCCCCCTTTTGCACAAGTCAAGGAGCGTGTCAGGTTTACATTTCACTGTGTTATACTTGTATAATTATGCATCTGACGAATGTTGAACCTTGAATTTACACAAAATGTCAGAAATCTGCATTGCCATGAACAAAGATTTAAACCTAATTTTTCATGATTTCTTGTGTTCACCCTCTGAGGTCCAACATATAACTGGCCATTTTAACTGCTTTTGATTTAACATGTGTATTTCACCTTTAAATTGTTTCTTTTTCCCCGTGTCTTGCTTGGTGTCATTCTTCTCAGCTCAACCTCATGTGTCTGAATTTAGCTTTTTTTTTTTTTTTTTTAAAATTGGCATACTGTATTAACACAACTCATCTGAAATCACGCAAAAAACATAAAATTCGAGTACTATCTTTTTTAATGCAAATATATATTGTACATTTTGTAAACATTTTCAACTATTTATCTAAAAATGCAGCCAATACACCTGCTGTTTTTTATTTTTTTATTTTCTACAACCATTTAAAAATACTACTATAACTAAAATGAGAGAACAATCAGGTGTTGCAATAAGTTTTAACACTGTCTGAAATAGAGACTGAGCGTGGCTGCAGCTTGTTGTTATGTCAGCTTAAATCAGTCATGTGATTTGGAGGTGCAGCGTGTCCGTGGACCCCAGAGGGTTAATAACGATAAATGTCTTATATCAGGATATGAAATTGTGATCATATCGTACAGCCCTAGTGTAGTCAATAGTTTTGTTGTGTGTGTCAGAACAATGAGGCGACTGCTGAATGTTACAGGTGTTACAGGAGTGATACATCCCCTGTTGTCAGGCCTGCAGGTATCAGGTTTGTGATGTTCTCCTTTATTTCATAGTGGACAGAAATTATTTTTTGGAGTGACACAAATAATTTGTGTGGCATCAGATTTGATGTAGAACAGCTGATTGTTCTGTAAATAGTTTGAAGTGTTTATTTAAAACGCATTGGCTGCATTTTTAGGTAAACAGCCGCAAAAAACTTCGTTGCTTGCAAAACTCAGTAACTTTTTTGAAGAAGTAACTATATTATTAATTGCCCAACAATTTCCTAATGTTGTAAACCTGCTCAACATTTGGCAATAAACACCTTTCTGATTCTGATTCTGATTCTCCAACATCGGTCATTATTTACTGTATTTTGCAGACAGAGTTACAGGACTCTCCCCAGACCACAGACTCATACTACAAGTCAGAGCTTTATAAAAAAAATAAATAAATAAAGTTGTGTTTTCAAAATTGGAGTTCAAGTTATTTTTACTTTCAATAGTGTTAACATACTACACAGGTCATGAACGAGATTTTTTTTTAAATTAATTCTAAAGCAGTTAATTAAAAGTAGTCTAACATAAATGTAAATGTTGGTTTATTAAAATAATAAATACAAGTAACTTGGATGGATTTGATGCTGGCGTGACCACAGTGCACACGTCTGCTGTTGCTCACAGTGGTCCAAGGGATCGCTCAGGGAGTTTGTGTGTTCGCTCAGACACATGAAACATTAGAGGGAACATTGGGTAACAGTAAGCAATAGATTCAGTTTTAGAACTTATATTCACTGATAACTGTAGCTAGGCTCAAAGTGCTATCTTACTTTAGTAAACAACATTGTCATGTGCAAAACTAGGGTGGCACTCGGGGTGGCACATGCCACCTTCTAGATCTGCCCCCGACCTTGCCAGGGATTCTGGATGGGGACGACTCAGATAAACTTCACTACAGTGATGTTCTCAGCAGGTACTTGATGCAAGAGAAAAAAAGGCTGTTACCTTACCAGGCTCTGATGTTTAAATCAACCACACACAATATAAGCAAACAGTGCTCCAGTTGTGCGTCTCCTCGAGTTTTAGTACTTCTTTAGTGGCTTTGTTGTTCTCCTGACATAACGCGGTCAAGTGAACCGTGATTTGTGCAGCCAGGGGTGAAGCCAGCCGACCCGCCGCGAACATTAAGCCTCGCGGCAGTAGCGCTTCTCCTCCTTTGCTGCTGATGGCTAGCATAGCGCGACACGGTGTCGAAAAGTATCTTTCGAGTTTTTTTTTTATCCGTAAATTTCTCCCGTTGTAGGGCATTGCACGTGTTAATAGAATTATATTAGTACCGACTTCAGGTTTCCCAGACTAAAATCCCCTGTTATAAATGTGAAAGTAATTCGGGACCAGTCCGCTTTTGCCGGCTACTCTGATTTGTACCGCCATGTTAACGTTATGTGTCGCTTTGCTGTCGCTAGCCGTACTTTGAGCGAAGTGGATGTTTTCTGTTATGTGAGGTTTCAGCTGAAAAACGATGTCCGGCGAGTCTCGGTGGCTCTAACGGCAAATTAATTCAGCAGCAATCTAAGAGTTTCATACTCACCTGTTGATGCAAACGCGCTATAACGGAGGAAAAGAATCCCCAAGAGCGACGTAAGAACTCCGGTACCCATCTTGTCCGGTGTCCCCGCTGTGACGACGTTCGCTCGGAACGGCGCCAAATACGGTTGTGCCCCTAACTGGTTTCCGGTATTTGTATAAAAGTGATTGGCCAACACTGCTGTAAATGACTTGTTGGTGTATAATATGTGAAATGTGTCAAATAACGTAGTATTTAAGATACTTTACTAAACAGCTTATTTCTAAATTTTATATATAACTCGTCATAAGTCATGTTCATTAAACTCTACTTGCCAATATAAGTAAAGACATTACACATAGAAATAAATAGAAACATTAGAAATTACTTCTTTAGAAGTTTAGAAAAAACTGATCATTCATAAATTCATAAATGCATTGATCGGCTCTACTTTGTATAAAAATGTATGTTTGGTATTATTATTATTATTATTACTTATAACTGTTCATTTGGGGTTTTTTTTAGTTTTTTAAGTTTTTTTTTTAACATTGCATGGTAGTCAACAGTCAGATCCTTAAATGTGTTTATATATGTTGATAAAACAGAATTAATATTCCAGTCAGTTATTTTATACCTAATATTTTGTCTTCATTGTGTTTCCAGTCACATCATAATCGAGTTGTTGAAGACTTTCAGAAAGGACAGAATGAGACTGACAGGTGAAAATCGATGATGACAGCTTAAGGATTCACTGTCGTTAACATAAGTGCACTGACACTTAATAATAAAAACAAAACTGTAAAATTAGAGTCCAGATGAGAGTTACAGCTGACATAAGTGGCATTATAACTTTTATTTATTATTTTTATAGTTTACATGTTGTGTATATTTAAAGTACCTAAATACATTTTTAAGAGGGCCACATGGTGACACTGAGCGTTTGCATCCACCACCTGGTCGGGGAGTCTCTGTGGGGGGTTTGCATGTTCTCCTTGTGTTTGTGTGGGTTCTCTTCAGGTTCCTCCCACAGTCCACAGACATGCAGTCAGTGGGGTTATGTTCACTGGTGATTCTCAATCGCCCAGAGGTGTGAATGTGAGTGTGAATGGTCATCAGTACCTGGTACCAGGTATTTCTTTAGTACCTGCTAGGCTGGGTTTCCAAGCGATCTGAGCAGGTAGTAAACTGTGATGTCACCGATTGGCTGGTCGGTGGCATCGCTCGATGAGTCGTAACAGCGTCATGTGTCCCTGAGACAGACTGAAGTGGATGAGAGTGGATGGGTTCATTTTAGTTTAAACATCTAATGTGAATGTGAAGAGAAAGCAGCACCATGTCTTCTTCATGTATGCAAAGCAGAAACCGCATCCTGTTATTTAAAGAAGTAAACAACATGTTTAAGCTTTTCATATATATGTTCATCTGTATATGTTGGCTTTGTACAAATACCACTTCTCTGTTCCTGACATCAGCATTATAAATGCAGGGATGGAACTTTTTTCACTAGTAGGATAAGAAATTGTTGGAGGACTGCTGCATTTTCTTCTTTTTTCTCCAACTCTTAATATTTACAATGTTTTATTCTTTGAGAAAATGATTCATAAACACAAAGTTTTTCTTGTTAGAAAGTCTAACAGGGGTACGCAGGTGATGCTGAAGAGGTTCATCAAATGGACACTGGTGTAACATCCGTGATGTCGATCAGACGTCCATCTTGGAAATATTCTTTAAAAAAAACTATCTGTGTGTTTTTGTAGCAACTTTAAGTAACAGGGCGTTCATACCACGTGTTATAAGAGAGTAACCGTTACAGTGTGTTAATAGTTGTATATATTTCTAATGTATCTGACCTCGACTCTCTTTGTACCAACAGGAAGGAGGAAGAGGGCGACTTTACTCGGTGTCAGAGACAGAAATGAGAAAAAGCTGAAATGAGTGAGAAGGACGATGTTGGAAACATCTGTGCTGTGTCTGCTCTGTAAGTAGAATCTCTGTGTTTGTTTGAATTCTTGTACTTTGATTGATCTGGTCCTGCACTACAGAGAAAGTTTATTATACCCAGGGTATATTTCTGTTATTCAGATTAGTTGACGCTAACATTGGTAATCAGGATATTCTGTCATATGAAGCTGATATGAGTTGATAAAACTCACTCAGTTAACCCGGGGTTTCCCTCCCTGCACCTCCACATGTGCTGTTTTCACACAGTTATGGATAAATGTATCAACATCAAAGAGACTGTCTGCTGCTGATGAAGTGTGTGTGTGTGTGTGTGTTTGTGTGTGTGTGTGTGTGTGTGTGTGTGTGTGTGTGTGTGTTTGTGTGAGCAATATACAGTAATGCAGTACTAGCAAACCTAGTACTGTACCAGTACTCTGTTGCTTTAGTCGAGTTTTATTGTCAACCAAACAATACACACTCAGGTAACAGTGGGACAAAACATCGTCCTCCTTCAAAGGTGAAAAACACTGTAAAATGACATGAAAATATAACAAATTCAAATATACATGTTTACAACTATACAGAAGATAAACTGAGAATAAGTTCAACAGTATTGTGCTTGAATAGAGAGAGTAAGGATGAGGGCTGTTCGATATAACCATATATCGTTTTAGTTTACGCTATCGTTTGTTTTGTGGTGTCGCAAAATAAACTGTTTACGTCAATATTTTTTCATGGTTTTGACGGTCGCTGTAGTGGCTATATTCATTTCTTGCTCTTATATTTAATATAACCACACTACGGACGCACAAGCGCCTGTTTTTATGCGTTGTCATGAACAACAACGACGGTAAAACCATCGTGTGTCCGCTTGTTTATGTTCCACATAAACTTTTCACAATAAAGCTCAAGATCCTGTTGAGACTTCTCAAAATAAACTGAATCATATGAAAGAGTATGCAGTGTTTACGGATGAGAAGCAAGACAGCTACAACTTATGTCTAAAAATGTATCGTTTCATCGGTTAAAACACTCGACTCCAGGTACACGACGTGCAGCTGGAAACACTTCAAGCAAGTCGAGCTGCCCGAGATTCACAGAATTTACAGAAAATGTTACATTTTTGTGATTTATATCGTTATCGGACGATAGATGTTTTATATCGGGATATGAGATTTTGGTCATATCGCACAGCCCTAGTAAGGATAGAAAAGGATGATAATACATAAATACAATAGTACACAGAATAAATGCACTGCTCCAAAAACAAAGGGAAAACTTACACAACACAATGTAACTCCAAGCCAATCACACTTCTGTGAAATCAAACTGTCCACTTAGGAAGCAACACTGATTGACAATCAATGCCACACACTGTTGGATTAGACAACAGGTGGGAATTATTAGCAAGACATCCCAATAAAGGAGTGTTTCTGCAGGTGGTGACCACAGACCTTCTCTGTGCTGATGCTTTCTGGCTCACGTTTTGGTCACTTTTCAATGCTGGCTGTGATTTCACTCTAGTGATAGATTGAGACAAAGTCTACAATCCACACAAGTGGCTCAGGTAGTGCAGCTCATCCAGGATCACATCAATGTGAGCTGTGGCAGGAAGGTTTGCTGTGTGTCAGTGTAGTGTCCAGAGCATGGAGGCGCTACCAGGAGACAGGCCGGTACATCAGAAGGCCGTAGGAGGGCAACAACCCAGCAGCAGGACCGCTACCTCCACCTTTGTGGAAGGAGGAACAGGAAGAGCACTGCTAGAGCAAAATGACCTCCAGCAGGCCACAAATGTACACGTGTCTGCTCAAATGGTCAGAAACAGACTCCATGAGGGTGGCATGAGGGCCCGACGTCCACAGGTGGAGGTTGTGTTTACAGCCCAGCACCGTGCAGGACGTTTGGCATTTGCCAGAGAACACCGAGATGGCAACTTTGCCACTGGCAATGAAAGCAGAATCACACTGAGCACATGTGACAGACGTGACAGAGTCTGGACACAGCGTGGAGAACCTTCTGCTGCCTCCAACATCCTCCAGCATGATGGTTTGGCAGTGGGTCAGTTATGGTATGGGGTGGACAGCCTGCACAACCCTCCATGTGTTCATCAGAGGTAGCCTGACTGCCATTAGGTACTAAGATGAAATCCTTAGACCTCCCTGTGAGATCATATGTTGGTGCGGGCAGCTCTGGTTTCCTCCTAATGCAAGACAATGCTGAACCTCATGTGGCTGCAGTGTGTCAGCATTTCCTGCAGGACGAAGGCATTGATGCTGTGGACTGGTCCAGCTGTTCCCCAGACCTGATTCAACCCAGCACATCTGGGACGTCATGTCTCGCTCCGTCCACCAACTGCACCACAGACTGTCCAGGAGTTGGCAGATGCTTCAGTCCACGTCTGAGAGGAGGTCCATCAGGAGACCATCCACCACCTCATCAGGAGCATGTCCAGGTGTTGTAGGTCATACAGACACGTGGAGGCCACACACACTGCCGAGCTTCACTTTGACTTGTTGTAAGGACATTACTGTAGAGTGTTTTTCCTCGTTGAGTGTGACTCCAAATCCAGACCTCCATGGGTTGCTACATTGGATTTCCACTCATCATTTTGTGTGATTTTGTTGTCACCACATTCAACTATCTAAAGTATTTAATGAGAATATTTCATTCATTCAGATCTGGGATTCTTATTTTTGAGTTCCCTTTATTTTGAGCAGTGTGCAACACAGACAGAGTCAACAGTGCAAGTGTTGGAAATGAGAGGACCTTCAGTCGTCTCAGGAAGGAGTGTGTACTATATTACTCTTTAGGACATTAGTCCTTCGCTACACCAACGAGTCCTCAGCAGCTGTTTATTTATTGATGGTATGACTTATTTTATTACAACACTGGTAGAATAAACAGTTTTTACTGAATAAAGTTACAAGTTTAAGAGTCAGTAACTCACTTTAAATATTGTTTGTATTTGATTGAGCCTCGTCTTCATATTTGCTGCAGCCATGATTGTGACCCTTCTGTTATAATCCTGACTTCAATAATATGAAAATTATTTAAACATTATATTTAGAACAATGTAAATGTGTGAAATGAAGAATACATTGAAATGATATAAATAATGTAACGTCAAAGATGAATTATTGCTATAGAAGATTTAATACTTAACTGGTTGCTTCATGAAGGCTGAATATGAAATATTTGCTCTGTAGGACATAACATAGCATCTATAACACTTTCTAACAAACAAACATATTCTAATAATAAACTAAACAAAGGAATTCACTTTCACTCGTTCATCAGTAAAGTCAGAGGTTGAGCTGGAGCTCGTGTCCCGTCACACCAGATGTGAGAGTAGTGCGTTTGTTCGGTGCAGCATAACAAACTGGCTAATTAAAGTCTATATTTACACTTTTTATTTGAATATTTTATTTAATTCTATATGAGTAACAATAACAAAGTGAGCTGCACTGAAAACAGGAGGGCGTGTCAGTGTTCACAGTAATATTCACAGGAAATCTTAACACTTGTTAGACTTTTTAAGCCATGAGGAGGTTTTGCTAAACTCAGAATCTCCTCTAAGCTGCACTCTGACAACAGTCCAGCTCCATCAATGATCCCATTGTAGTTCTTATTTCTTACATGATGTTTATAGTGAGTGGGCTTCTTTGCATGCTGCTCAGTGTCTTTGTCCCTTTGATGGGGTGTTGTTGTCACCCTGCTGGGTCCATAGGAGCCTCTACCAGGAGGCTGAGGGGCAGCGTTGGAGGTCATCAGTGTTTTTAGCCTGAAGTTAGCAGAGAGGCTAAACTTGACTCTTTGTTGCATTATAGAGTCAGAAGTTTAAATAGTGTTTAACAGGACAATCGAGGCTAAAATGGTTTAAAAGATGAACTCATTAAAAAAACACTAACAAATCTTCATGTTTCAAATACTGAGAAGCTTCAACAACAAATATGTGTTCAAGCCAGCATGATGTTTGCTCCTGTAACTGATTGTTTTTCCATCTTGTTCTCTGAATATTTACCAAAGGCTCCATAACTAATGTCATTCATTTTGTTTCTTATCATTGAAACTGTTGTAGAAAATCCACTTTGTTAAGAAAACAGAGAAGCGACGTCTTTATATGAGACTTCAGAAAAATGTTGTACAGGACAAACTGAACAACATCAGAGCGACATCACGACTTCCTGTAACTTTTCTCTGTCCAGCTAAACATGAGTACCTTCCATTTTCTCCTGCAGAGCATTCTGGGTAAAGTCAATCGTGCACTGACGTCCTGTGTGTGTGTTTTATTGTGCAGATGCAGCTGCAGTCGGCTCAGCAGTGAGAACTGAAGACGTCAGTCAAAGAGAAGGAAAAACAGTCAGAGCTGAGAGGTACAGCTGCTCTTCTTTTAGTACAAACACCATAAATCTGTTGCTCACAATCAAACTTTTCCTTTACTTTTAAGTTTGTGTCACTTTTCAAACCATCGTTACGAGTGCTTCCCAGAGACGATGAGTGAAAGAGCAAAGAGTAAAATATGAATCAAACTACGGCCACACAGACTCACAGTGTCATGTGGTGAATAACTTCCAACAGCTGGATGAATAAGATGAGTTAAAGTTTATATATTAGTCTTTAACAAGAATTTAAAAGACGACACTGATGAGGCGAGCCAGATTTCTTCAGGCAGGTCGTCCCAGGATCGAGGAGTCCTCACAGCAAACATTCAGTCGTCTTTAAGTGTGAGCTGGGAACAGTGAACAGGTTTGTGCCTGCAGCATCTCAGGATGTACACACTGACTGGGACACAAGCACCAGTTCCACTAAATATTCTGGTGCCAGTAACCTGTTAAGATGGAGCAATTTGATGTTATTTAATCAGTTTATTTTTCATCCTGCAGTTAAAATGTATCAAAACAAGATTGTGTCTCTGCAGATGCTGTGTGATCTGACACACCTGCACAAAATGTGTCAAAGTTCAATAAGTTACATTATTGTAACTGTGATGCGTTCACTGACGTGTCCTGATGCTTTGCTGTATATAAAGAGAACAGAGAGGCTCTGCTTTGTGCTTATATTCTCCTCCTGTGTGTTTGTGTGTGCAGAGTTTCTACCAGAGCCAAATGTCATCTACTCCTCACTGAAGTCGTCCACCAGTCCAACCACTGGGATCCAGCTGCTGCTCTCTAACTGGTCCATACAGCAGCTCCCTGAGACATCCTGGAGACTCGGACAATCGTTGTCAGAAAGGAAATCACTCAAATAAGTCAATAACTAATCAGAGACGTCTGATTATCAGACAGTTACAAGGTTGATGGTAACACATTTTATATCCTTGGACTAAACTCAGTCTGCATCTACAGGATGGCTCTTATTTCATTATTACTGACTTTTTATCACCATTTTAACCTCTGCTTTATAACTAAAGTGCTCAGCAGCAAGTTTTCATAAAGTCAGACTAAAGTGAAAGGAGTCAAATACAATCTCTTTATTGTGTTTATTTAAAGTTCACAGAGGAATGAATCACTGTTTATGTGATGTTTGATGTCACAGCTGTCTGTGTCACTGTGAGAGACAATGAACATAAAAATAAACATTATTTAAAATCTGAATATTAACACACATTTATGGATGGTTTGTCACACAGATTAATATCTTATAAATTTATATTTTTCACTATTTTTCACAGGTACAAGTGTGTTTTGTAATATGATGGAGATCCTTTACTCCATTAATAAACAGCCTTCATCTGCAATGTGTCGGATTTTACTTTCTGAGTGAAATTGTTTTCAACACACAGTCACACGTTTATGTTAGAGCACCCTCCACTGCGCATGTCCATTAGTGATTCTCTTCACTGACCCACAGATTTGAAATCAGGATGTCGCTCACATATAAAACAACATGTGTCTCTGAGCAGCTTTTACCAACCACCAAATTCATGAGACTGTAATACATTTACTGATGCTTGTTGCAGCTCTGTCAGCAGTCAGGGCTGCAGGTGGGTTGTTTTCACCAGAAGTGACCACTGCTACCAGAAATATCACGGTGTGATGGGTAACAGGTGTGACGTCAACTCAAAGCAGATGATAGTTTAGGTGATATTCATTTTAAAGGCATTATTTTTTTCAGGTTTTACTCTGAGGAAGTGAGTTTGTCATTTGATGCAACCAAGATGAAGTGGTCTGTGCTGCCATCTACTGACATTAAAGTGCAACAACAGGCTGCCCACCTCTGAGTCTGCAGCACTCAAGGTTTAATGTTTCCACTTCACACAGGATCAGGAGTGCTCAGCTCTTTACAAGAAAATCTCTGTCACACGTTTTCACTGACACTGAACACCACAAAAATATACAAACAAGTTCACAAGTTTTATTTCATTACAATCATATACACTCACTGGCCACATTATTAGGTACACCTTCCTAGTACTGAATTTGGTCTTTTTTTTCTTTAACTTTCAGAGCTGCTATAATTCTTCACAGCAGATTCAACAAAGTGCTGCAAACATTCCTCTGATGTTTTGGTTCATGTTGACGTGACATTATCACACAGCTGCTGCAGATTTGTGAGCTCCATGATGCAACTTCATCTCAAAGGTGGTTAGTTTGTACTGAACTTCAGCACCAATGAACCCACAGAAAAAGTAATTGTACAGTCATCATCCTCTCAGAGTGCAGACAGCCGTGACTCTCAGTTACTGACTCACACCTCAGTGCTCTGTGGATGAGGTCAGCGCTCAGCCTACAAATATGTACAGTACACACTTTAAATACAGAAGTCCTGTTTCTCATCCATCAGTCATAACATCATCGTACACACTGATGTCTATATCACAGCCAATGTGGGCCACAAAAACAAAAGAAGATGAAATTCTGAGGCCACATCTGGAGCACTTGCAAAGAGATACAGAAAGACGTGGAGCCGGTACAATTATTTCCAAGAAAACAGCGAGAAATGCAGTCAAAGAGCCAAAAATGGACCAAAGTCACACCTGAGACAAGTTTCTCCGTGCAGGAGGAACGTTAAAACAATCATCACCAACAAAGGCTCAAAGGATGTTCAAAGGATTAAAAACATTTTCAGTAAACATGCTCAATACTTTTGACATTTCTTATCATTACAGATAATTTATGGACATCTATGGTTTGATTGCTTTGCATGTGTGGATTGGATATTGTTACCAACACCTGGTGAAAATTTCAATCACAGTAATCAGCAGAGATTTCCCACTGAAGCATAAACTGCACTGACATCAGTGACAAAGATTTCTTTGAAAAACTAGAAAAACAAGCATTTCAGTAATCAGTCCTTCAGGAGATGAAAACTGGAGTCAAGGTCTCTGTATTGGCTTGAGAGAGAAACTGTTGCACTGTTGCAATATTCTTTAAATGTGAAAATTTAGTTTTAGAATATTTTTGACAAAAGTTTTAAATGTGAATTTCAAATGTGAGTTCTGGATCAAATAAGACCTGAAGGCTTTTAACCTGCTCACACAGGTTTAGTGGAAGAGTCTGAAGTTTGTTATGAAGTTTCTCTCTGAGCTTCAGAGCTGCTGATTAAACCTCAGTTTTGTCCTGAGTGAGTTGGAGGAAGTTTGCTGCCATCCAGGAATTAATATGTAAGATGCCGAGAGATCTGACTGGCTCTGTGTCATCAGGAGACACAACAACATAAAGTTGTGTATCATCAGTGTACTAATGTGTACTGATTCTGTGCCTCCTGATGACATCACAAAGTTACAGCCTGTAAATGTTAAAAGCACTGGTCCCAGATTTAACCTCTGTGCCACAGTTCAGTTTGTAGCTCCTGGATGAAGATTCATCAACACGTACAAAGAATCCTCCATCTGTGCAATTTAATCCAGTTAGAAACTCTCAGAGTCTCTATCAATGTCTCTAAGCGTCTGCAGTGATCCACAGGATCAAAGTCAGCACTGACATCAAGAGGAACCAACATAGATTCAAGAGTTTCTCTGACAGTTTGCGTTACATAAATCTCCAACCAAAACAGGTTCTGATATAAAGCTATAATGGTCCACACAGCAGCTCCGACCTGAACACATTCAGTGTGAAACACACTGGTTTATATTCTGTTTGTTCTCCTCGTGATGTTACCCTCATACAACTATCTATCTATACGTATAAATATGTCATTTTTATAGTTAAACGTTTTTAACTAGTTTAATGTATTATCTCTCTCTCTCCTGTCATCCTATTTTCTTTCAGATCATCTCCTTCATTGCTTCTTCATCAGGAAGGATCATTCTTCCTTTTTTTAGAGATCACGACAGCGACCACAACAATGATCACAGCAAGTAACAAACCAAAAGCTACCAGTCCAGCATGATATCTTCTACCAATTTCATCCTCCTTCCCTCCATCCTTCTTCCCTTCATCCTTCTTCCCTCCATCCTCTGTGTGTCCTCCTGTCTGAGCTGCAGGTGAGAAACAGGTGTGAGGTGTCAGCTGTCAGGTAGGTGATGAGTGAAGAACAGAACAGAATCCATTTCCTCTTCAAACTGCTGTCAGACATTATCTACTGCACTCTGATCACATCACTCAGACCAGCTGCTTTCTACAAAGTCTCATCAGCAACATCTTTAGAAACAAACATCAACAACCAGGAAGCAGCTTCACCTCTGATCACACACACACTCAACTCTACTCACTCACCTGGAGGAACAACAACACTCAGTGTTATGTTGCAGATGGGTTCACATGAGGTTGCTCCTGCCACAATGATGCAACACATGTATGTTCCACTATCAGCAGTCGTGACATCCTTCAGAATCACAGACACGTCTCCATCCTTCATCAGTGTCTCCTGCAGGTCCACACGGTTCTTAAACAAGTGATGCTGGTGATCTGGAATAAAATGCCCATCCCGGTACAAAAAGACATATTCATCTCCCAGGTCAGCTCGGCTCCACTCTGCAAGATCATTGTTGGTGTTTGGAGCTCGACACGTCAGAGTGACGTTTTGTCCACACCGAGCTGTGATGTTTTTCTGGTCTGAAAGAGGAAACAAAACAAATGAGAGACGTTAAAACTACTAGAAGTCTGCCTTCACATCACAGTGTGAAAGACAGAGTGCAGCTTCATGTTAGATTTATTTACAGTTTTTTTCTGCTTGAAATTCAAATAGATCCTCTGTAATAAATATGTTCTTATGTCCAATAATGTGTCAATGAATTGATGTCAGCTGAAATTTTGCTTCCATCCATCCCACTCAGCTGTTCTCTATTCGTCAGTCTTATTAATCATTTGTTTACAGTTAGTGCAGAGTCCTCCTGTTAGTGGGACACATCTTTACATAGTCTGTTTGTATATTCTGTTATTTCAATGTCGTTCGACACGATATTACAGAATTGGAGAATTAAAGTTTTATCTGAGATTCTGCAGAGGAGCTGAAGTTAAAATTAGATAAATGCATATAATTCAACACCTCTGATATCGCATGCACAACTGGATATGGTTTGAAATTTTATAAATAAATACATTTACACATGAATAACTACCCCACAAAAATGACAGTTTGTGTCTTAACTTAACTTTACGAATCACGTGACGTGACAACGCGCATCCGGAATCCTCTGACGACAAGTTCTCCTCCGCTCTCGTCGTTTGACGCGATCTTCAGCACATTATCGGTATAAAGACGGTAATATAACTCAGAAAGTCCATCTGTGGTGGCCGGACGACGTTGAAGGAGTACCTGCAGATAAACTCGGCTTAATTCTGGATTTGGACCTTTTTGTTTTGTCGCGGTTGTTTCTGGACGTCGATGAGCGCGGTGGGAAGTTTCCTCCGTCTCCGGATTATTCGACGATAAAATGTTTGTTTTCGTCTTTAATCGGTCACAAAGCAGCTGTGTGTGTTTGTCAAAGCAGCTACAAGCTGTTTGGAGTGAACATGGAGCGGAGACAGAGAGGAATAAGGAGCTTGTGTTTGAGGCCTGGATACGACTACAGGAAATCTGCAAACATGGCGACTGTACAGTGGAGTGTAGCCAGCGAGTCTCTGCGGGTGGACGTGCTGTCTGCACTGCGGGTAGCTGACCAGACCTAACCGACATCATATTAACGGTGTTAAATCCATCACAGGGATTTCTTTTAGAGGGTCTACAACACTCTGGAGGAAATCTTTAAACCACCGAGCTCTCCGTGGATCGTCAGCCGGACCAGCAGCAACTTACACGGCGAAGAGAGCTGAGGCAGAAGCGGACATGTCGATCTGCTGCGCGGCCAGGCTAAACCTCCAGCTCCCGGTGTTTTCTCCACAAACACCACATCCATCACAATAACGTGAAAGGATTGGATCTCCTGATCGGACAATTCCATCAAGACATGCAGCGTGAACATTTAAAGAGAAAAGTGGTGAAGACGGGAAACATGACTCTCTCTGGTAAGGTTGTTTCTGTGTGTGTAGATCTACCACGGACACCATGAGCCCGGTGTTCTGGGACTCCATCCTACCTGACAAACTATCCTACCCGTTGTTTCTGCGCATGCGCACAACACGCATTTAAGTGGCGAACCGTCCTACCTTTGTGAATATTAGCTAGAAAAATACTCTGACGCGTAACATTAAGTGCCAAACAATCCTAACTTTGTGAATGTGACCTACAAGCATACTTTAACAGCTAAAATTAAGTGGCAAATCATCCTACCTAAGATCTAGAAACATACTTTGACCGGTAAAATGAAGTGCCAAACCGTCCTGGCTTTATGAATATGAGCTACAAGCATACTGT